GAGGCAGGCGGATCACCTGAGGTCAGGAGTTTGAGATCAGCCTGGCCAACATGGTGAAATCCTCTACTAAAAACACAAAAGTTAGCCAGGCATGCTGGTGGACACCTGTTATCCCAGCTACTTGGGAGGCTAAGGCAGGAGAATGGCTTGAACCCAGGAGGTGGAGGTTGCAGTGAGCTGAGATCAGGCCATTGCACTCCAGCCTGGGTGACGGAACGAGACTCTGTCTCAAAAAAAAAAAGGCTGGGCGCAGTGGCTCAAACCTGTAATCCCAGCACTTTGGGAGGCCGAGGCGGGTGGATCACGAGGTCAAGAGATCGAGACCATCCTGGTCAACATGGTGAAACCCCGTCTCTACTAAAAATACAAAAAATTAGCTGGGCATGGTGGCGTGTGCCTGTAATCCCAGCAACTCAGGAGGCGGAGGCAGGAGAATTGCCTGAACCCAGGAGATGGAGGTTGCGGTGAGCCGAGATCGCGACATTGCACTCCAGCCTGGGTAACAAGAGCGAAACTCCGTCTCAAAAAAAAAAAAAAGAAAAAAAAGAAAAACAGAAACAAACAAAAAGAACATTAATCCCTTATATGAATATCTATTTTTTGATGACGGATATTTATTCCCAAGAACAGATAAATGAAGGAAATGATGAACACCACATTTAGGACATTGATTATCTCTTGGGGGAGGGAGACAGGAAGAAGGATGCAACTGGGAAAACTATGTAGAACTAGACAGTGTGGTAGTACTACATTTCTTAAGCTAAGAGGTGTGGATGTGCCATTGTATTATTATTTAACAGGTACTTCGTTTATCTTAAATATTGCAAAATACATTTTAAAAATAAACAGTTACAGGGCTGGGCGCAGTGGCTCACGCCTGTAATACAACACTTTGAGAGGCCAAGGTGGGCGGATCACCTGTGGTGATTTTTTAGTAGAGAAACCCTGTCTCTACTAAAAAAACAAAAATTATCTGGGTGTGGCTGTGGGCGCCTGTAATCCCAGCTACTCAGGAGGCTGAGGCAGGAGAATCACTTGAACCCAGGAGGCGGAGGTTGAAGTGAGCTGAGATTGTGGTATTGCCCAGGCTGGAGTGCAGTGGTACAAGCTTGGCTCACAGCAACCTCTACCTCCTGGGTTCAAGCGATTCTCCTGCCTCGCCTTCCCCAATAACTGGGATTACAGGTGTGCACCACCATGCCTGGCTAATTTTTGTATTTTTGCTAGAGATGGGGTTTCACCATCTTGGCCAGTCTGGACCTGAACTCCTGACCTCATGATCGGCCTGCCTTGGCCTCCCAAAGTGTGGGATTGCAGGTGTGAGCCACTGCACCCAGGCAGTAGTGTTATTTCCAAAGCTTTTTATGATCTTCCCCGTGATCTTTCAAGATATATTACTGAAACAATTAATTAGACATCAAAAACGTGAAAGAGGTCTTCAGTGCATGTGTGATTTCCCTTTAAATGTTATCTTCTGAGGTTGTATCCAGTTTTCTCAGCAAAGCAGACTTGCTATGTCCCTCTGAAAATTTCTTTCCCTTTATAGTATAACTTGCTTTTGTTAATTCCACATTGAGTTATAGTTATTGTTCTCTGCCTCTTCAGTGTTTATCTTTCATCTCAATATTAAACACTGATATTGAGTAACTGAGTAATGTTCAATTATTCCTCTCCTCATATTATTTTTATCCTTTTTTTCCCACTTGCAGTGTCTCGAGTTATATATTTTTATTCTTTTAAGTGACTGCAATTATCTTCATATATGGAACATAAAAATTTTATTGAACAACCTGTATTAGCAAAGTTCTTTCTGTATCACTATTTCCTGCATAGATTTCTCAGATTGTTTATAGAAGTGCCATCACCACCTTTCTGGTGACACAGTATCTCTTGACCTACAACCTTAACACAAAGTTGTAATATGAATTAGTCACTATAAGTGGGAAAGGATTTTTTTGTTAGTTTTGAGATGGAGTCTCACTCTGTGCCCCAGGCCGGATGCAGTGGTGCGATCTCAGCTCACTGAAACCATAGCTTCCTGGGATCAAGTCTCATGTCTCAGCCTCCCACGTGGGTGAGAATACAGGTACACAGCACCACTCTGGCTAATTTTTGTATTTTTAGTTGAGACTGGGTTTTCCTGTGTTACCCAAGCTAATCTTGTACTTTCACTGTAAGACACACTCAGTGATGGTTTCTTTCTAATAATGGTTAATAGGCTTCTGAGTTAGGCCTTCAGGATTTGAATTCCTGCTTTGCTATTCACCAGCTGTTTAATTTTTTTTATCATTACAGAATTTTTGATTATCCTAGAAAAACATCCCAAGTCACCAGCTGTTTAACCTTGTGCAAGTTATTTAACCTCTTTGAACCTCAGGGTCCACATCTATAAAATTGATACTATAATAGTACAGTATTTATTTCGTGGGTTGAGGAGAGAGAACATATAAAGCTCTTAGCACAGTGCTTAGCTCAATACATATTACTTAGGGGCTTATCATTTTGACAAATATTTCACAATGTCTTCATAGAAATTACCTAAGTTTGTCTAGTAGGGTTTTTTGAGACAGGGTCTCGCTTTGTTGCCCAAGCTGGAATACAGTGGCACAGTCACAGTTCACTGCAACCTCAACCTCCCAGGCTCAAGTGATCTGCTACCTCAGCCTCCTGAGTAGCTGGGACTACAGGTGTGTACCTCCAAACTCAACTAATTTTTAAATTTTTGAGACCAGGTCTTACTGTGTTAACTACACTGGTCTCAAATTCCTGGGCTCCAGCGAGCCTCTTGTGGCTTCTCTTTCCAAGTGCTGGGATTATAGGCATGAGCCTCTGTGTCCGGCCTCCTCTAGTGTTTGAAAGAAAACTTTTATTTTTTTTAAGAGACAGGGTCTGGGGGCCGGGCGCAGTGGCTCATGCCTGTAATCCCAGCACTTAGGGAGGCCGAGGCGGTTGGATCACCTGAGGTGGGGAGTTCAAGACCAGCCTGACCAACATGGAGAAACCTTGTCTCTACCAAAAATACAAAATTAGCCACGCGTAGTGGCACATTCCTTTAACCCCAGCTACGTCGGCGGCTGAGGCAGGAGAATTGCTTGAACCCAGCAGGCAGAGGTCGCGGTGAGCCGAGATTGGGACATTGCACTCCAGCCTCGGCAATAAAACTCCATCTCAAAAAAAAAAAAAAAAAAAAAAAGACAGGGTCTCACTCTGTCACCCAAGCTGGAGTGCAGTGTTACAGTCATAGCTCACTAACCTTGAATTCCTGGGCTCAAGTGATCCTTTCACCTCAGCCTCCAGAGTAGCTGGGACTACAGGTGTGTGCCACCACACCCAGCTAATTTTTTACTTTTTTGTGGAGATGAGGAGCTCCCTGTGTTCCCAGGTTGGTCTCGAACTCATGGGTTTAAGGGGTTCTCCCACCTCAGCCTCCCAAAGTGCTGGGATTACAGTTGTGAGTCACTACACGTAGCCCAAAATGGTAATTTTCTGTGTTCCATCTACATTTATTACAAGATAGTCCGTAGGAAGGAAGAACTTTCTCTTCTTCCCGTAAATTTTGTATTCAGAAAAATTGGATCCCAGGCCTGGCGCCGTGGCTCACGCCTGTAATCCCAGCCAGCACTTTGGGAGGCTGCGGTGGGCAGATCATGAGGTCAGGAGTTCGACACCAGCCTGACCAACATGGTGAAACCCTGTCTCTACTAAAAATACAAAAATTAGCCAGGCATGGTGGCAGGCGCCTGTAATCCCAGCTACTCTGGAGGCTAAGGCATGAGAATCGTTTGAACCCAGGAGGCAGAGGTTGCAGTGAGCTGAGATCATGCCATTGCACTCCAGCCTGGCAACAGAGCATTAGTCCATCTCAAAAAAAAAAAAAAAAAGGATCCCATTCCATTTGGGGTGTGGTGTGTTCCCATTCTCTCTCTTTGTGCTGGGCCTTGCTGCCCAGTGACCTGGACCTTCCTTTGCCTACCTGGATGTGATCGGATGACCTGTGCACTGTCCTTGTGGGCATGGGATTGTGGCCTATCACAAGACAAATTCGAAGCTGCACTTACTACTTTGTTGTGCAGTTGGTAGTTGTAAATATTCTCAAAGGACACACCAGTCTCTACAGCTTGGGAGGTCAATGCTTTTGTGTGTCCAACTCTATCCTTTTCTCTGTGCTTCATCTGTAGATCATAAAAACCGCTACTCCGAATTAATCCACTATTCCAAACTTAATTACTCCACTATTCCACTATTCTCAAGCTTAAGATTCACCTGAAGGCAAGAGACAGTGTTGGTCAAAATATAGTTCCTAACTGGGCACGTGCACGCCTGTAATCCCAGCTACTCAGGAGGCTGAGGCCAGAGGATTGCTTGAGCCCAGGACAGGAGTTTTGAGACCCCTCACTTTAAAAGAAAATAAAAATAAGGCCGGGCACGGTGGCTGGCATCTGTAATTCTAGCATTTTGGGAGGCTGAGGTGGGAGAATCTCTAGAGGTCAGGAGTTCCAGACTAGTCCCGGCAACATAGCGAGACCCCATCTTTTTAAAAAGCAAAAAAAATTAGCCAAGCATTGTGGTGGACACTTGTAGTCCCAGCTGCTGGGAAGGCTGAGGCAGGAGGATCGCTGCTTGAGCCCGGGAGGTGGATAGAGGCTGCACTGAGCAGAGGTCGCATCACAGCACCCCAGCCTGGGGGAGAGTGAGACGCAATCTCAAAGAAAAAACAACATAACTTCGTCTCTGGAACAATCCTGGCGAAACAACGACCCCCGACCCCCGACCCCCGCCAGTAAAGGCAAATTTCTTTTCCTCAACCAGTCGGTGCCACTGGCAACTCCCCAGGGGGCCAGCTTGCGAAAAGCCGGCAGAAAAGAGAGGGCGTTCACCGTCCCTTGCCTTGCTCTACCGGACCAGAAGGCTACAAGCGGCCGGTGCCGCCCGGGAGCCAGGTGCCAGGTGCCAGGGTGAGGACGGAGGCGGAGAAACCCCTCAAGCTCTACCAACGGGGCGGGGAACAGGGAGGCGGCCCCGCCTCTCGGCGCCCTCCGGGTCTCCCCTAGCGGCGGCTGTGTGCTTAGTCACCGTGAGGCTGCGCTTGCCGGGGGCCTGCGCCCCCCTTTCCCGGGGACCGCCCCCGGGCCGCCCGTCGCCCTCTGCGCGCCACTTCCGCGTGCATGGCCCTGCTACCCCGAGCTTTAAGTTCCGCCGCGAGGCCGAGCTGGCAACGGGCGGCACGCGCTTCCCGAGGCTTCCCGCTGCCTCCTCCCCCTCCCGCAGCTGCCACGCGCGCCCTCTCCCGCGTCATGGCCTGCAGGCAGGAGCCGCAGCCGCAGGGCCCGCCGCTCTCCGGCGGCGCCGTGGTCTCCTACGACTACCTGGTGATCGGGGGCGGCTCGGGCGGGCTGGCCAGCGCGCGCAGGGCGGCAGAGCTGGGCGCCAGGGCCGCCGTGGTGGAGAGCCACAAGCTGGGTGGCACTTGTGTGAGTAACGCCGGTTGTTTGGGATGGGGGCCCCGCTTGGTCTCGGCCTCTCGGGGGACAGCCTGTGCTCTTTCCTATGGCGATCCGGTGGTACCCCGGCGCAGCGCTTTCCTCTTTTCCACCCCCGCAATCCCCCACTCCGAAGCCAGGACCCCAATAGGTGGAGAAGAGAGAAGCGTCCAGGGGCTTCTCTGCGGCCCCCAAAGCCAAGCCAGCGTTTGCTCTCGCTCGGATGCGATATTGACCAAGGCCTGGGCGGGTTAAATTAATCTTCCTCGCATCCTCTCACTTCTCCAAGTGAGACAGGATTGGATTCTATGCTTGACCGCGTGAAACACAAAACTGCATCTGGGGACATTGCTGGTGGCCTGTGTGTGTGTGTGGGGATGAGAGTGACGGTGTCGTTGGTGGTGGAGGGTACCCTTGAAGAATGTATATGCTGGTTCTCCCGTTTCAAGGGCAGAATGATTTATAGCAGCTGTTCTCAACCTTGGCTGCACATTGGAATCACCTGAGGGTGCCTGGATTTCTAACTTAATTGGGCTGAGGTGCAGCTTGGGCTTTGGGATTTTCAGGTGATCTGAATTGCAGCCAATGCGACCTTGATTAGGTGAGTTCGCAGAGCTTTGGCTTTTGTCTTGGTTTTGTGTGGATTGCAAAACTCAAAAAATAGGGATGTAAATGCTGAGATTTACACAATTCATAATTTTTGAAAATAAGGGTTTTTGTTTGTGTTTGTTTTTTGAGACAGGGTCTTGCCCTGTCATCTAGGCTGGAGTGCAGTGGCGATCATAGCTCACTGCAGCCTCGAACTCCTGGGCTTAAGAGATCCTCCTGCCTCAGCCTCCTGAGTAGCTGGGGACTACAGGGGTGAACCACCACACCCAGTTAATTATTATTATTTTTTTGTAGAGATGGGGATCTCTATGTTTACTGTGCTGATTTCAAACTCTTGGGCTCAAGTGATCCTCCTGCCTCAGCCTCCCAAATTGCTGGGATTCTAAGCCTGAGCCACTGCACTAGTCCTAAAAGTAAATGTTTTCAACTTTTGATGTGCCGCCCTTTTCTATCACAAGATTGGGGTGTTCACGATAAAATGCTATATCCAAGAGGAACGCGGAATTCAGGATAGGTTCTCTAAATTCCTTTGGAGATTAATGTTTAAATTAGGCCACATTGGGAAGTCTTAAGGGCAGGGATGGGCTTCTATGTTTGTGTGTCTCTTATCACCTTAAAATCCCTTGCTCAGTAAGCACTTGTGCAATGAATGAAACTAAAAATGGACAGTTATGAAAAGGCTGACTTCATTGTTCAGTGCCCTTTTTTCAAAATGAACATGGAGGTTAAGAGAAAGGAAAAATCCCTGTTAATTATCAACTTGCACTTTGACACTGTAGTCCAGACAGAAGAAGCCTGTCTCTGCAGAAGGCAGATTGTGGGGTGCCACTAAGAGCCCCCCACCACACACCCTGTGAGAGTACTCCATCACTTCTCACTTCTGTTCTGCTCTCCACATTTTTCTCTCTTCCTCTTTATCTGCTTATGTCATAATCTGCTTCAGAGGTTCACCCAGTTTACCTTCCTGTTAAGAATTTTTTTTTTTTTTTTTTTTTTTTTTGAGAGAGAGTCTCACTCTGTTGCCCAGGCGGGATTGCGGTGGTGCAATATGGGCTCGCTGCAACCTCTGCCTCCTGGGTTCAAGCAATTCTCCTGTCTCAGCCTCCCAAGTAGCTGGGAATACAGGTGCACGCCATTATGCCCAGCTAGTTTTTGTACCCCTTTTTTTTTTTTTTTTTTTTGGGACGGAGTCTCTGTCTGTCTCCAGGCTGGAGTGCAGTGGCTTCATCTCGGCTCACTGCAACCTCTGCCTCCTGGGTTCAGGCGATTCTCCTGTCTCAACCTCCCGAGTAGCTGGGACTACAGGCATCTGCCAACACACGTGGCTAATTTTTGTATTTTCAGTAAAGACAGGGTTTCACCATGTTGGCCAGGTTGGTCTCGATCTCTTGACCTTGTGATCTGCCTGCCTTGTCCTCTCGAAGTGCTAGGATTACAGGCGTGAGCCACCATGCTGGGCCCTAGTTTTTGTGTTTTTCATAGAGAAGGGGTTTCACCATGTTGGACAGGCTGGTCTTGAACTCCTGACCTCAGATAATCAGCCCACCTTGGCTTCCCAAAGTGCTTGGATTACAAGCGTGAGCCACCACACCCAGCTTATTTTTGATTAAAAAAATTTTTTTATAAACAGGGTTTTTCCAGCTTTGCTTGGTGACTCACGCCTGTAATCCCAGCACTTTGGGAGGCCTAGGCAGGCGGAACACAAGATCAGGAGATTCAGACCATCCTGGCTATGGTGAAACCCTGTCTCTATTAAAATACAAAAAATTAGCTGGGCATGGTGGCACATGCCTGTAGTCCCAGCTACTCAGGAGGCTGAGGCAGGAGAATTGCCTGAACCCAGGAGACGGAGGTTGCAGTGAGCCGAGATCATGTCACTGCACTCCAGCCTGATGACAGAGCAAGACTCCGTCTCAAAAAAAAGAAAAAGAGTTTCTTTTTTGCCGTGTTGCCCAAGCTGGTCTCTGACTCCTGGGCTTTAGCAGTCCATCTGTCTTGGCCTCCCAAAGTGCTGGGTTTACAGGCATCAGCCACCACTCCTGTCCCGTTTCTTGTATTTTAAGTGCTTGGATTGGGGGCGGGTAGGGAGAAAATGGTAGATAGAAACATTTGTGAGACATGTCCCTTCCCTTAAGGAATTTTACAGTGTGGTGATTGTGAAAGAAAAAAACTCTTGGAACTCCAAAGTATGCCAAAGGGAAAGTTTGGCTTGGGAACTGAATCGCCCAAGAACTGCTTTTCCTTTTGTTCCTCAGCAGACAGGTTCCCAAACAGACAGCTGTAATTTCACAATCCCATGTCATAGCCTCATTTCCTCTACTCCAGCTTTTCACTTTTACTTTATCTTATGTAAAATGCAGATTTACTGAGGCTCACCAGAGCCTCACAAAAATGCAACCATTGTGATGGCTCATGCTTGTAAGGAGGCCGAGGCGGGTGGATCACCTGAGGTTAGGAGTTTGAGAAGGCTGTCCAACTTGGTGAAACCCCATCTCTACCAAAAATACAAAAATTAGCTGGGCGTGGTGGTGGCTCCCATATTCCCAGTTACTTGGGAGGCTGAGGCAGGAGAATTGCTTGAATCCGGGAGGTAGAGGTTGCAGTGAGCCAAGATCTTATCACTGCACTCCAGTCTGAACAATAGAGCAAGCCTCCTTCTCAAAGAAAAAAAAAGAATGTAACCATCTACCTTACTGCTTATCCTCCCTCTCTTTTTCCTTCTCCTTGTTCATTCCCCTTTAATTACTAACGCTCCCAAAACCACCTTTGGAAAAAGCATAGGTCATAGATACTCCTGCGATCTGTATTTTTTCCTGGGTGCATCTTCAACCTTGGCTAAGTAAACCTCTATAGATTGAAACCTACCTCAGTCACATTTTGTTTTGCAGTGGGGAAGGAAAAATGCAGACAGTCAACCCCAAAGGGGAGTTGTTTGTGTTAATTGGTGCAAGTAATAAGAAATTACAGTAGTCCAGAAAACAGTTGAAATGATCACTTCTGCATGGGCACTATGGGAAGGTTTCACGAGGGAGATGGTATGTTTCGGCACCTCAGAAGATGAGGCTGGGCACGGTGGCTCACGCCTGTAATCCCAACACTTTGGAAGGCCGAGGTGGGCGGGTCTCTTGAGGCCAGCAGTTCAAGACCAGCCTGGCCAACATAGTGAAACCCTGTCTCTACTAAAAATACAAAAATTAGGTGTGGTGGTGCACACTACTTGGGAGGCTGAGGCACAAGAATCCCTTGAGCCCAGGAGGCAGAGGTTGCAGAGAGCTAAAATTATGCCACTGCACTCCAGTGTGGGCAACAGAGAGAGACGCTATCTCACAAAAAAGGGGAGAGATGGGTAGTATTTTTTGACATTCCTAACCTCAAAAGATGGGTCCCAAATCTAGGATATGTTGTGTAACCAAATTTGGAGCAAAGGGTATCTCATTAAAAGCAGTAAGAGGGCCAGCCGTGGTGGCTCATGCCTGTAATTCCAGTACTTTGGGAGGCTGAGACTGGTGGATAATGAGGTCAGGAGTTCAAGACCAGCCTGGCCAAGATGGTGAAACCCCGTCTCTACTAAAAATACAAAAATTAGCTCGGCGTGGGTGGTGGGCGCTTGTAATCCCAGCTACTTGTGAGGCTGAAGTGGGGAATTGCTTGAACCCAGGAGGCAGAGGTTACAGTAAGCTGAGATCGTGCCACTGGACTCCAGCCTGGGTGACAGAGCGAGACTCCGTCTCAAAAAAAAAAAATTAGAAATAGGAGATGAGAAGCTGATGGGTAGGTTGTGGTTTGAAAAATGTGGAGTTTCCGGACACACAGTGAACTGTGGGGTGGGGCTGGCTTCAGCAGACCAGTGACTTAGTGAAAGTAGTTTTGTGGGAAGCCTTAAGATTGAGATCTCACCCTTGGTGCTGCCCAATAGAAGTTTCTTTCTTGTTTTTTCTTTCTTAAATTTATAGAGATAGGGTCTCACTATGTTCCCCAGGCTGGTATTGAACTTGACTCAAGCAATCCTTCTGCTTCTGTCTCCGAAAGTGTTAGGATTACAGGCATGAGCCACTGTGCACTGCTGAAGTTTAAGATTGGTTCTCCAGTGAGTTCTTTTCTAAATAAAATCCATTAATTGCTAAAGCTTGGAGAAATTTTAAAGTTGTGGTGTAATAACTCACACGGAAGGTTCAAATTAGAGTGTGTGTCTAGCAGTGGTCATTTACAGGGAATGAGATTATTTGATTTTTAGTTGTTTTATCTGTGTTCCTTCATTTAATTGTTCAACTTTTAGAGTTTATGGAAGCCCACTGTTTTGGACCAGTCTTCTGTACTAGGGCCCAGCAGACGCGCGCGTGTGTGTGTGTGTGTGTGTGTGTGTGTGTGTGTGTGTGTGTTTT